GCTTTGAGAGTGAGTACCATCACTTACTAATGGTTGTATGATTCTAGTTTAGACTTGTTATTTCAGTTTTATTTTCCTTATATGGGTGACCAGGACTATTCCTATAATACTTACCTCAAAGGGTGTAGTGATCCAAATGAACCAACATACGAAGAATGAATTTATAAAACACTATGTATTTAGTAGGTAGTATAACTGCTATAAACTAGCTTGGTGCCACTGGAAGTTTCAATTTACCTTAAAGCATTAGGAACACAAGTTGCTTCTCCCCCTTTTTCAGTTTATCAGTTGTTTAAAATGCATAGTGCCCTGACATATCTCACCCTGAACACTATGAAATGACAATGATTTCAGATGAAAGGGCCAAAACATATAAGGGAGGGTATATGTGCTGGTCCATGCAAAAAGCAGGTGGTGTTATTAACAAGATCCTTAAAGAACCACAATTGGACAGGTTTAAGAGAACTCATGCCAATATACCATGTTGAAAATGTATTTTTTGGTCTACTGACACAGTCACCATTCCATACAGTCAAATAATTATAGTACTTTGAGATAATAATAGTATCTCTAATCAGAAGTTACTGAAATTTTGAAAGTCTTATACTTTGGAGGCATGGAGGAATAAATAATGCTTAAGGTAAAAAAAAAAAATATGTAAGATGTTGAGAGAGGATCTTGCTCATGTCACCAATATGTCTGAAATCACTCTCATACTGTTACGTGGGTTTGTCATAAGTCACTAGTCAGTTGATTGACTATTTATTGACTATTTCCTCCCCCTCCCCCTACCGCTAGGACAGTAGTAACATCCGATATTCTTTATAACCAAAGGCTTGCCAGGATACATTTCATAAACTGCAATGGGAGCAGAAAGAAAAAAGTGTATAAAAATATTAATGTTATTTGGATGCAACCTACAAAATATTTTGTACTTTTTTTATTCTCAAAGAAACCAACCAACCAGAGTTAATTAAGCATAGTCTGCACAGATGAGTAAGTCTGTACACATCAATGGGCACATGCAGTGGATGGTAGAAACATATGGAACATATCATATCCCAAACACCAAAGAGTTCTGAGGAATAATTAATGAGATGCATAAATATGGACAAAATAAGCCCATTTTTATATTTTCAGATTATTAAACCTGGAACAAATCTTCCTCTCTGCCATTGGTTTATAACAAATTTCTGACACAAAAAAGAACATTTGTTTCATATTTTATTGAATTTCATTTATATTAAATTAAAAATATATTTCTGACAGATTCATGTAACAAAAAGGCAGAACAGTTTTCAAATTGTTCAGCTGGGATGATCAGTATGGAATGAGGCAAAGCAGTTCGCATTCTATAATTGCCTTGTACAGGTACGATTCTTTCCCAAGAGCCAAAAGAGGATCCTTGAGAACTAACTGAAAAGCCTAATTACATAAGTTTAAAATACTGTTTCTCCCTCATTCTCAAATAACCAGAATAAGGGAAAGGAAGGAGAATGGGTAGAAGGTTGGAGGAGAAGAAAGAATAAGAGAAAGTATACTAAAAATATACCTAACATTAAAAAAGTTAGTATGTGTTAGGTGCATAATCCTTCATCAATAACATAGAAAAAAATCAAAATAACATTATACCACACACAATTGGCATATCCTATTGTGTAAGCGAGTGCAGAGGTTGAACACATCACAATAGTGCTGAACACAGAATCACAAGTAATTCAAAATGGTAACTTCCAACCAAAAAAGAAACAATCACAAGCCAATTACTTATATACAAATCAACCCTAAACACAATTATGTTCCAAATAAAGATGTCCACAAAAGAAAATCAAATCAACATTATACTTATTTACAAATGCAACTAGCCATGTCTTTAACAAGCTATAAAAATACTATTCACATTTTCAAACATACAGTAGTATTTTTTTGTTTGTTTCAAAAAAAGGCAGCTAACTTTGAACGCATGGATTTAAATAAAACATTGATGGCTTACCAGCAAGGTATTTTTGCACCCTAATCCTTTGAAGATACTTCACAAGAGAGAGGGCTTGCTTTCTGCTTACAAGTTAAGAAAATAAGGAAATGAGTACAAATGTGTATACCTTAAACATCTGCCTTTTCAGTCAAGTGAGTCCCTCTCTCACCCAAACTGATGTCACTAAATTACTTTGATGCATGTATGAGATGAATGTTTGAGAGTAGATTTAAGATGACTTTTCCTGTGCTATGAATTGTCTTGCACGTTGATCTCATTTTCATTTGATCTTGTTGTAATGGTGCTCAAGAAAGAGATGAACTAGTCATACCACGTGAAAATGCAGTTTCGGCATGCAGCCACGCAATCCCTGGTGCCCTCAACAAGAGAAATAGACACAACAGCCAGGGAGACATGCATTCCAAGTTAGCTGCCCTCACACAGCTGCTCCATTTAATAATCGACCCATTTAACAGCAGTACCAGTTTATGCTACATATTTCAAAGTACCTTACTTTAAAAGAACAGCTTACATATCTACATTTAGAAAATAACTTTCATAGTTGATAACTGGAGTAATCCCAAAAGGGTTCTTGGAGTGCTATGGTTGTAGTTCCCTCACTCCCCCCTCCCAGCCCCTGAGAGATCCAGAAATATACAGGAGAATGACTCTCACATTAAAGGAAAAGGACAGCCCCCCCCCATTAACTGAAAAATCTGGAAATGACACTTGAAAACCAGGTTCATGTCAATATCTAGGAGGTATGATTTTGCTTTCCTTCACAAAGGCTATAGGCCTGGGGGAAACATCTACACATCAGGGATAAAAACAGCAGTAAAGGCAAAGTGGTTTGGACAAGTTAGACTATTGCCTACAGGTATGAATCTTTGTTTTCCTATATTTGTGTACTTGCACAAATATAACCACTTCTCATGATAGAGGGAAAGCTCACTCAAGCATGAAAAGAAAAATGTCTCTAAAGAGCAAAAGTAAATAAAGGATGGCATTCTGTTAGACAACATGGATTTTCATTAACATGAACTGCGCTCATTATGTATTCGTTAGACGGATGAATGAGTCAAAAAAAGAATTGCAGGTGGTTCTCAAAGCTGAATAGCCTCTACCTTTATGATAATAAAACTCCTCGTTTGGGGTGAAAAAAAATACAGCAGCTACAAAATGTTTGCGATCAAGAATAAAATAAGATGAATAAAGTAAATAAGTTAATTTACTGGCAAAAATAACTTATATGTACAGCTTTTATGCAAAGATTAAATCAAAGTTCTACCAAGGGTATGTGCACATATGTGAGTTTCAAGATTCCTCACAGGACTATCTCATCTTAAATTCCTATAGGGAAGGACACAGAGAATCGATCATGGGAAACCATAATTTTAATAGCTTAAATATTATCTATGCAGTAGTTTGACAATTCATTTAAACAGTGTCCAAATTGCTAGAATCCCTTATGAAAAAATCAGGTATTCAAGGGCAAAGATGAAGTCTGTTTCACAACGTGGAGTGTGGCAGCTCAGAGATCCACTATGGCTTAAGAAAAGAACAGGACAGCATCAGGTGGACTATGTTGAATCAGGGTAGTAGAAAGGGAAGAGAATAGTGCCAGTTGTGTCAATGGGCAAAAAAGGGAAAGATTCTATTTTCCTCTAAAGGTCAGAGAGAAATACATTTTTCTGTGATGCCTAACGAGATAATCACTTACTTGCAAAGCTGACTGTCAAAGAGTATTTTCCAGAAGCGGCATGTGAATACCCCCATGAAATTGGGGCTTAGAGTCATTTTAGCTCCTGACTACAGAAGCATTTTCTTCTGCCCAAAATACCACCTCGCCAGGAATTAGATGAGGCAGGAGCCTGCAAAAGTGACAGATCCTACATTTTTGGACCTCTACAAAAATCAGTGAGACTTGAGCCAAATATCTGAAATTTCTATTACTTTAGACTTTTAATTAAAAGAAAAAAGCAGTTCACACTGCTAAAAATTATTTGCCCATATGAACACAACAGGCCCTGGCCGGACAGCTTCTTGTTTCCAACTGTAGAGAGAACTCTTCTTGCAAAGGCATCTCTGGGATCAGAAAAACTATTAATTCTACCCAGAAGTATAAAAGCTGGCCTCATTGTAGTATCAGTAGTATTAAGCGGGTCTCCACTGATAATGATCTTTTACAATTACACTTGATCAACATCTGTATTTGTTTTAAAGAAATGGCAACCAGGGGATACCAATCTGCATTTATATGTATATATAGGGCAGGGCTGTCCTTCAAACTGATACACACCAAAGTCCTTGTGCACAGAGAGGCACAGCAGGATCCTCTGCCCACAGTAGGTACAGTAGAAGTTCATTTATCTGGCTTTTTTTGTTTGTTTGTTTGAGACAGAATTTCGCTCTTGTTACCCAGGCTGGAGTGCAATGGCGCCATCTCGGCTCACCGCAACCTCCTCCTCCTCCTGGGTTCAGGCAATTCTCCTGCCTCAGCCTCCTGAGTAGCTGGGATTACAGGCAAGCGCCACCATGCCCAGCTAATTTTTTGTGTTTTTAGTGGAGACAGGGTTTCACCATGTTGACCAGGATGGTCTTGATCTCTTGACCTCGTGATCCACCCGCCTTGGCCTCCCAAAGTGCTGGGATTACAGGCATGAGCCACCGCGCCCAGCCTTAATCTGGCTTTTTAAACAACTAAATGCTGATACACCTGGATTTCTCATTTGTCCTATAACAATCATCAGTCTAACAACTGAAGTCCAAAAGAATGGCAATGCAGTAGTTTGAAATGCTTGGTTCAGCATTTATTTATCAGAAAAGTTGTGATTCTTTGTTGTCATTTTTGGAGGCAAGAGGGCATAGTGAGAAAGGAAAGGACATATCACAAATTAAATGTATTTTGTGTGTTTGCTAAATGACATCATTCATCTTCTTTTGTCTCTGAATAAGGTAATAGAACATTTACATTTTCTTTACTTCATCTTGAACACCCCTTAGCCATATGTAATATGTTTGCCTGTTAAATTCTGCAAGGTGGTGTTTATTTTAAAAAAAAATACATTTAAAAAGTGATAAAAGAATAACAAAGTGAGAAAAAAATTGTTCATTGTAATGCTTCAAAGGAATTTTTTTAACAAGTGGAACCATATATGCCTACTTTCAGCTAAACCCAACAATTTTAAATGGCAAACTTATTTTTTTACTAGGCAAAATCCATTCTACATTTTTATATCCTGCATTTAACTTTGTTATACTTGTGGTTAGTTTTCTAGTTTGATTTATTTAATAATAAAATCATTTAACATCTGATAACCTAACTAAATCTACATCTTATAGCATTATCATGGTTCTGTCCAGTTATATACATGCTTTCATGATCACCTTTTCTATTACCTTATGAATTACATATACTAAATTATCAACAATTACAAATGGATGGATAACTCCAGTTTTGAAAATGTTAGATAGCTCTAGAAAAACTTGTATTTACATCCTTCCCTGTCAGGCTTAAACAATTTTAATTTCCTTTTCATGTTTGACTCTTTAAGAAGCACACTAATAGTACTTCCATCTTCATCTAGCAGCAGAGCCTCATAGTTCTTTTCTCTCAATTTTTCCTTAGCATTGTAAATATGCACAATCTTCATGCCATGTCTTTCCTTTAGAAGGTACTAGTTTACATACTATAACACTTAGAAGAACACTATTTCTTCTCTTAAATTAGATATTCAGTTCTTCCTAATCTACAAAAAAAAAAACACACACACACACACACACACACACTTGATTTTAGTTTGTGCGTTTTAATAGAAATTTGAGTTTTGCATTGTTTTTCATGCTATTTTAAGCATGTTATTGGAGGAAGGATTCTCATCTTAAGCTGTGCTACTAATACGATGCAGAAAACCAAGAGCTGCTTGGTAGTCTAACACCTTTTGTGGTGCAGATGATTTGTGATTCTGGATCTACCCTAGTTCAGAGGCCATCTTTCCTCACCTGTTTAGGTACAACTTTCTTTCGGCAATCATTTAGCTGCAAAGTTTTGCCTTGCCTGAAAATAGGATTGCCCAAAATAGGTATACTCTACAAAGTTGGGTGATATAAAAAATATAGTCATTGTAATTTTAATACTAATTTCCTCAAATTTATATAATTGATTCTGCATATTTCAATTGCTACAACTGGCCTCTGGAATCTGATATCTCCCAAAGCACTTTGAAGACTTTAAGTGACATTTAAAAATTCTACCCTACTGGGCTAAATAAGTTTTTCTCTGGAATGAATGAAACTTTTTTCCTCCCTCTTCCACACTCTGAAATATGTTTTTCCAGGGGGGACAAAAATAAAAACAAAAACCCTCAAACAACTGAAGTCAATTACATACTGCAGAAATCATTCAAAAGGAATATAAAATGGCGCTATTGTAGAATTTGGGTCATTTTGGATTATGCCTGCATCCATCTCTAGGTATTACCTGACATGTAGAAGTCTTGTGTTCTTAGGAGAAAAGAGACTACATTCACTAAATATATATTTTTTTTACCTTAACAGTTAAAAGTTAACTATTTTCTTCCTTCTCCAAAGTAAGTTATTCTGCTTTCTATATCCCAGTAGAAACCATATGCACATTGTAAGTCAGAAAAAAAAAAATCAAGTTATAGTATCCACAAAGGAGGCTATGATGACTTGCTGTAGATTTATTTAGAAAGGGAGGCTTATATTCAATTTTTCATAAGAACTGATATGAAATCACTTTTCTTAGAGACTTCTCTGAATGGATAGGAGAGCTCTGAGCTGTTAGGTTGTGGCTCCTGAATTACTCTGTGTCTTTAACTCTGAAAAGTTTGAGGATGAACTTCACTAGAAGGGATCTCACAAACCCCTCCCCTGCTCTACCATACTTTTTCAGCTTGCCTCAGTTTTTACAGCTTAGAAGAAAACCAATTTCAATGTCTCCAACATCCTTGGCCAAGGACCACCATCTGCTTTTGGTTTAATGGCAAAGTTAGAATCTATATAGGCTAATTAGCCAGTGATGTAACATTCTTCTAGACCAGCTTATGTTTGAATAATAATATTGAAATTATCATATTTGTCCACTTCAACAATTTGAAGGATGTTTAACTTATTTCCCAAATGAGTTCAAAGGAGATACTTTACTGAACAACTGATTATACGACAGCCATTCCCAAAAGAGACCATGCCATCTGATTCTTTGAACTCACAGAAAAATTAAAATGTCACTCTAATTAAATCTCCTAGATGATACAATTTTGAAGTTGGGGATGAGATTCCATTTATCTGGGTGTTTCACACAAAACATGGTGCTTTTAGTAGACAGTTGGATAAATGAGTTTTGGATGGATGGATGGACTGATTCACTTGTTCAGAATAGGAAAAAACACAAATATCTTCGGATTTTTTTTCTCTAAACGCTCCACTTTAATAAATATTTTTACTCTAATTAATTAATCTTACACTATTGACTCTAATTTGGTCCCGAGATTTTAACATTAGAAAGAAATATTTTTTAAAAGTCTAAATGAGTTGGGGTAGAATTTTCAGAAAAGGGGGATTTATATCTAAGTTTCCTAATTATTGATATGAGGTCCCATTTACCTGGAGACTCATTCCTGTCATTTGTTCCCATCCTTCATCTCCTCAGCTATTCTTTCAAAATGATACATAATAAATATGGTTTTAGTACTAGATGCAGTACATGAAGAAAATGAATTATATAAAGTATCAAAAGATTCATGTGTTGGATAATAAAATAATTGCATGAGAAGATTTTTCACATTTATTTACAACTTTTGACCCAAGAACCTATCCATAAGCCTTGAATGTTTGTGTTTTTCTTTTTATCATACCAATTTATGTGCAAAGAGTTTCTTTCTTCTTCATATAAATAGAGTTTCATACTAGAAATTCCATGGAATTCAAGCCAATCCTTACTCGCATTCCTTCTTATGAAGTATACGAACTGAACAAATTTCCTTGCGTAGCAAAGGTGATGCCATATGGAGATAATGTGCTGGCCTCTCATCATAGTCCCTGGATACCGTTGCAAGGTTCCTAATTTGCTTGGTTTGGCATTTCCACAGTCTTTATCTTAGCTCTTTTTTAAAAAATGTACTTAAATTAGTTAATTTGCTGGTTGCTTCCATATTGCTTGATTCAAAATCCAAAACAGAGTTCAGAAAAAGAACAAATAAAATTACAGCTTAAGTGCAAACTACATTTCTGAGTATTTGCCAAGTAGACATACCCAATCCAGTGTGTTTCTTCTAGTTCAATAGATTCCCTCATTGGACCACCCCTGAAATTATCAGTAGTTTTCTTGAACTACACAGAACTGTCTCTTAGTTTCCCTTCTATACTTCACACAACCAACTGCTTATCAAGTACTGTCATGTATGGAGGAAAAAAATGTTGAAAAATGTAAAGGATGAGGGTGAAGATAATTTGATAGCATGAAAAATGAAAGCTAAAATAAAAAAATATTAGCCTCCCTTTCTTATTTTAAAAATCGTATACTTAAAATAGTGGCCATTTTACCATATTAAAATATTTCTTGCTTAAATTCTGTGAAGAAGCTTTGATGTAAACATCTTTGCAATTAGAAATTAAAGCCAAAAATAGGGGAGCAACTATATAAAAGAATTGATCATAGCAAAACAAAATGGAAACAAAACAAAACAAAACAAAAAGCCTTCAAAACATAATTACTAGTTATATCTTTGAAGATTTTTAAATTATAAGCTGGGTTGGCCACTCTTACTTGCTAGAACAGAAACTGTTGGAGAAAGAAACTGGTTTCTCCATCTCCGACATTATCATATGCTATAGAAAATGTTATTTTTTTGTTCTAATGAACACTTTATTATGATTTTCAGGGATGCTCAGTATGTACACATCAGTTCCTGCAGATAGGAACGGATAACATGGGTATTTCAACCATCTGCTTAAAAAAAAAAAAAGAAACAAGAAAAAAGAAGTGACAGCTAGTTTGATAGTAGGCGGTATTGCCTTATATTTTCTGGTCCTTCTCTAGCTGTTTCATTCTCCTGACCAACCCATGCAGAGAAATGAAGAAACACTGTGACTCCTCCTGTCTTTCTCTTTCAGTCTTTCCCTCTAATGTTCAAGATAGATAAGCACATAACTATCATTGCATCTCTATATCTTCCACTGGGAAGTGTCAAAACTACTGGCCTTGGAGTAGAAGAAAGACCACCAGAGAAAGAGAGGGGGGTGGGGAAACTGGAGCGTGTGTGTGTCTCCACCTAAAAATAACAACTGAGCTTACACCACAGTATTCCGGTGTCTGTAAGGTGGAGGTGGCAGCACAGTGCCTGGCTTCAGGGAGAACTCAGAGAGGTATTCAGGATTCTCTGCCACAATAGGCCGGATCCGCCCATTCTGTTTATAAAAATATTTTGTGCTGTACTCCTGCAGGTAGTCTGGGTGCTGGAGGGTGCTCCGAGGTGGCAGGCTGTGGTTCCAGTAGTCAGGGTTGTCAAATGCTTTCTTGGCCTTCTCTGGCACAGACAGTACATTGTTCTTCAGGTACTCAGCTTTTCCCAAGGCGTTGGCAAAGGTGTTGAGGTACAGTGGCTCATTCACATACTCATCCTCAGCCTTGGGTGGACCACTGGATGCATTGTGATATTCGGGATTATCCAATGCTTGAAGGTCTCCATTTTTTCTCCGAGAAACAAAAGGGTTCTCCTCCACTGGATTCAGGTATTCTATAGGAATAAAAAAAAAAAAAAAAAAAAATCAGCTAACCTCAACTTTCTGGAAAATATTAATCAGACCAAAGTTATACATAATGGTTAGCTTCTTTGCCTAGAAAAACAGCAACAAAAAACCAGACTTGTTTTCAGGATTTCTCAAAACACTTATTTGTGGATTACTTTGCCATATGAAAAAAAGTGGACCAAAAATGTTTGTAACAAAACAAGAAGCCAATGACACCAGAATCAGAATTTCTATCTCCAAAATTTTTCTTTCCTTCTAATTGCATCTATCTCTTTTGCATATGGGGCCAGTTGTTTAAATGTTTTTGTTTTCTAAAATGCATTTATATTAGGAATAAGACTACTCCTCAAAATTAAATAACCTTTAAATATACAGACAAGTTAATTTCTATAAAGGATAATGAAATACTAAAGAATCTATAGCTTTTTTCCATGCCAAGACAAATAAATGGAATGAAGAAATCGTGTTTTTTTTAGTATGCAGTTTTGCTATGATTGTCTATACTGGTAACAAGGATTTGATTGGAGATGCTCCTGAAAAAGGTTTTAAATATGGGAAAGAAAGCATCAAAGGGAAAAAAAAAATCAACTAAAAAAGCAAACCTAACAGGTATCTAACATGCATCTAGTTGACTTGCTTGACATTACATGTACTTCTACTTAATAATAAAGTATAATTATAATATCTACATTGAACAATCATAATCACAAAATAGCAAACTATTAGCTTAAATCATATAAAACAGCCATTTTGTACATTGAAACCAGTCAATTAGCCCCTTTTTTATATGGCTCAATCTATAAATCCATCTAGTACAGGTATTGGTCTAAAAGATGCTAATAATTATTGCTGTTGTCCTGAACTTTAATTTTACCTCTACGTCTCTAATATAGACTGCAGGTCGACATGCACACACATATACTGTAGGTCCTGTATGAGTCCTCTCGTACTATATACACGAAACTCTAAGCTATTTCTATTTTCGATTTGAGGCATCAAGAGGGGACAATTCTTTGTTGAGAGGCCATTCTGAAACAATCTCTTAGTCTTAATCCCAACAAGCACAGAGAAAAATCCTGTCAGGCCAGGGTTATTTTTCTCCAAATATATGTATACTGCAGAGGTAAGTATTTAGCATCACTTATTAAAGTTAAAGGGCAATAACGAATATCCCACTATCATACATAGGCCTTTAAAATATACTATCATTTCGTCTTAAAAATTCTATGAAAAAGAAAGTACAAGACTTATTTTTCCAGCTTTGTAGGCAGAAAAATTAGATTAAATGATGTATGCAGGATACAATTAGTGTTGCGATAGAATTCAGGTCTTCTTACTCCTCTTGAATAATCTTCTTATTCTACCGCGCTGTTTTTTATTATTGCCCCTGCAGGCATTGGGTGAACTTTATGCTTTATAACAAGTTTTAATTTGACAAATGTATAAAAACACTTGTAAGGAATGCAGAATTTGATCTTCCTTACCAGATTCCTAAAACTTCTTAATTGAAACTATAGAAATGTCTATACTAAAATTCTGTACTCTCTGAGCAGTAGGTTAAACTATAGCAACCTTTTTTTTTTTTTTTTTTTTTGAGACGGAGTTTCGCTCTTGTTACCCAGGCTGGAGTGCAATGGCACGATCTCGGCTCACCGCAACCTCCGCCTCCTGGGTTCAAGCAATTCTCCTGCCTCAGCCTCCTGAGTAGCTGGGATTACAGGCACGTGCCACCATGCCCAGCTAATGTTTTGTATTTTTAGTAGAGACGGGGTTTCACCATGTTCACCACGATGGTCTCGATCTCTCGACCTCTGATCCACCCGTCTCGGCCTCCCAAAGTGCTGGGATTACAGGCTTGAGCCACCGCTCCCGGCCGACTATAGCAACCTTTTATGGAAATGGAGCTTAGTGTTCAGAGATAAAATCTGGGAATACTCTGAGAATACAATGTGACTAGACAGACTGACTTGCTTTTCTCTTAGCTTTATAGCAATCTACTTATATATTATCCTGATACAAACTTATATAGCTATCCAATAACTTTAGAGTTGAGGTGCAAATCTTCCCAGAAAAGATTCTTCTTTGGGGGGAATCTGCCAAATCTTCACAAAACCTACATGTGTGTCATTACTAGGCTACAATGAACATCTAAACTTTTCATCACATTTTTATGTATATAAAAGTTTTATATATGTAAAAGTTTTATCTAGACAGATGTATTGTAACAGGTTATTTACAATTAGAGATTTCTAAATTTTACTTTAAAGGAGAGAACATAACCATATAGAAAAGGGTATAAGAGGCTCTTCTCAGTCTTAAAACATAGTTCACTGTTGACACTAAAGACTGAGAGACATGACCATTACTCTTTAATATTCGTCTGTCTTCTCTGTTGTGATGCTGTTAGCATAGAAGAAAAACGGCTTTTTTTTTTTTGCTGCAAAATTGAAGCATTATTTGAGTGCTTAATATTTCAACTACTAACTTTACAAAATTATTGTGCTTTGTAAAACCACAAACTATTAATTTCAAATCTTGATGGTATGCTTATAAGTATATATAGGGTCAAACTTTAATTTTTGAAAAAGTAATTAAAAATCATAATTTCCTATAATAAACTAGGTTGGTTAAATGAAATCATTTAAATGAGTCAAAGAAATCTTTTATTAGTGCCATCAAAGCATCAGACACTTTTGCCAACAATACCAGTCTTTATGATCTCCACAATTATGTCCAATAAAGCTATGGTCCTGACCCTTTGTGTTATGCTGCTTAATTCAAATATTTCAACAATATATCTTTAGAATAGTGCTTTTCATACTGATTGCTGTATACAGATAGTCTGGGGATCTTGTTAAAATACAGATTCCTATTCAGATGAGACCTGTCTGAGATTCTGACTTATATAAATGATAATAATGTGGATGCCACTGATCAGGGACCATACTGCATGTAGCAGTAGCCTAGGCCTTTACTGGGTCACAAATGTTGCAAGGTACAGCTGTCTGGCAATTTCCATTCTATACTTTATCTTGATAGAAGTGAACTTTGAATGGCAATCATTTCCAAATATTTTGAATATTTGGAATATCTGAATATTCATAATAAATCATCAGAAAATAATTTTGAAATACACATTTTAATTAACCAACTGAAACATAATCTAATAAAAAGCATTTAATGCCTTTCTCCCACAAGTGCCTAAATTTAATATAAAATTAAAGGTACGAACCTTGTTTGGCTTTGTCTCGCATAGGAGTCATGTAACCTTCCTCATCCAGCTCTCCTCGTGGGCTCCGTTCTGGGGCAAACACGGTGGGGTCAGCACTGTACCTCTGGGTGCTACTGTCCTCTTGGACATGGGGTGCCACTGGCTTGCGTAGGGTGCCATTACAGCAGGAGTCATCAAAAATCTCAGCCGTAGCACCCTGTGCAACAGGAGCTTCTGGAATTGTGCTAGTTGGGGCTCTGTAGGGCACAGACACTCCTTGTTCTGCAGCAAAACCTCCATCTCGGTATACAAACTGGTTCTGTTAACAAGAGAAACACATTTGAGAGGTGATGTTAGAAATAGTTGAAAAATGAATGCTAATAACCAAAAGGCTATCAAAGCTAGTCTTTCAGAGAATAGTCATAGCATTTATTGTTGTTTTTTTCTTCTTCTAGTGGCTAATGAATTTGAGTCACAAACTAGAAACTCCTAAAATTTCTACTCCTCTTAAAAGATAAATCATCAGAAAATAATTTTGAAATGCACATTTTAGTTTTATTGACCAACTGAAACATAATCTAATAAAACTATTTGATGCCCTTTTCCCAAAGTGTCTATATTTAATATAAAATTCAAAGTGAATTTTTATGATAAATGGCAGTGTCATTAATTGTAGACAGTTGTCATTAAGAATAGAAGTACCTGGGTATATTTTGAATGACCCTATGTCTTTACTGACTTTGAAAATTCTGTAGTTATTACGAATTTGATGCTTTAGTACCTAAATAGCAGATCACCACTATAATTCTGACTTTTTAGTACATGACCTATAATCAGGGATGTAAAGATAACCTCCACATCCAGAAGCATAATTTATATGCCAGGTTAAATCCTTCAGATAAAAATTGAAAGCTACTGTTGATGCATGATATCTCAATTTTGGATTATCAACTGAGATAAAAACACATCTACAAAGGCAGCTACACAATGTACAGCAAATTCTTAACTCACTGTTGGCAAAGGCAAAATGAGGAAATTATGCAGAGACAAGAGAGAGGAAACATGGTAAGCAAAGACCAAAATTCCTAAAAGATGAAGGTTGATTGTGAAATACTTACTCCTGACATGGGGGTGTAGGCAGGAGGAGGGCTGTGTCCAATTTCACTCTAATAGGAAAGAAAAATGGAATGATGGATATAATAGGCAATATGAATGAAAAAATTAAAAGAAACGAAAAAGAAAAGCCACATGAATCGTATGAACCAAGGGGGAAAAGTGCACAACAGTGAAGCTTTCTAAGCAGTAAAATTGTATGCATTCTATCAGCAAGTTAACTTACAGGTTTTGAGAAAAATAAATATTTTAATTCGATCCCTGAAAAGGAAAGTTATACTGAAAAAGTAAAATTTTTCAATGGATTAAAAAAGTGAATAATAAACATTCTTCTGATTAACCCTAGAGGAAAGGAAAAAGTTGTAAATAAACTATAGCTGTAAATGGAAAATGGTTTCCTTCTTTACATGTTGAAAGACTGAACCAGCCATATACTCTGGTATTATTTTTTCTCTTAAAAGAAATATATCTGGAAGGAGATAGGAGGAGATTTCAATTTGCCTGGAATAATTTTTGCTATCAAGCTACACTTATTTTTCACCACTTCAGCAAAGGGGTAAACTCCTTAGCTTCTCCTTATAAAAGGTATATATGATTTCATCTTTCGTGTTACATGTTTTGTTTTTTTAAGAAACAGCAGAAAATTTGGAAAATCAATTCCTTTTCTGGAAACATGCTTTAGAGTCCCCTTATGCATTTATAATGAGTCAAAATCAGATTTCAGTTAAACAGCAAAAATACGTCTATATTTTTATAGCTTAATGCTCCATCGTATGGGCTAACTGAAAGAGAATATAAAAATATGATAAAATATGAAGGACAGTGTTCCTTAGGGTAAGGAAAAGGTGCTGTATGAGACTAATTCTATTTCTTAATAAAAAATACATTAAACAGATTTCTTGAGAACCTACTGTCTATGTGCCAGGCACTTTTCCAGGCACAGGGATAAAAAATAACACAGACACAAACTGCTTGATTTTATGAAGTTTATATTCTCTACATTCCAGCTTTGAGTAAACAGAGATGACCAAAACAAACCTCTAAGACACCTTACATCTTTTATAGGAAACAGATAAATATTATTCCAGGTCATAATTTAGATTTACAAAGCATTCTAAGATACGGTTCCATGGAGATTAAGTGTTTAATGTAAATCAGTAACAACTGGATAGTATAATCTCCCTTAACTTAGTCTGCTGGACTAACCAAGGGACAAGTTCAGAGTCCCTATAGTGAGTTTATATCCTAATTTTCTCCATAACTATGGTGGCATTCATATACATATTTTCTTCATTAGTAACATAACTAACAACACATCAAAAGATTATGACATGGAAAGTCAGAGATACATGCAATATACGATACATAGGAGGTGCTGCTGTGCACCAGACAGACTGTTTAATGACCTGGGCTCCAGTTCTAAGGATAAGTGGTATGAATTTGGTGAATCATGAAACATCTCAGACCTCCATTTTCATTGCTTGTCACTCTGTTTTATTCTTAATAAGTATAAAGTAAGATAATGTATATAAATGAACTTTGTAAACGCTGCACTATTATAAAAATGTAAAGGATATATCACATTTAAATATTTACATTCACTAAATTGAATTTTTAAAGCAATCAAGGTGCCAAAACTACTCATCAAAGAGGCATTTTAAAATGCTCACCTGTTCTCTAATCATTTTAAATACAAGCATATTTTTTACTATATTTTAGAAATAACATGAAATCTGTATTTTAGAAGTACATTTGTTCATAAAATTTGAGAAAAGAATTTTTTATAGTCCAGTGACGTGTAAAATAGAGTGATAGTACAGGAAACATGGAACTGCCTGGTGGAACTTCACCAAATTACAAATACTGGCCTTACCCTCATCATTAAACACCAATTATTTAGCAAGTACTTAATAAATATTTACTAAATCTCTGCAGTGAAAGCACAGGTGCTGTGGTAGATGCCAGAGATGCCACAACACACTAAGAAAGACATGACCACTGTCCTTTTAGAATTTACACTATCAAATATATTCTGCGATTGTTGGAAGTAAAGGCAAGAATGAAACAAGGCAATTTATTTCAATTCTATGATTATATATTAGAATGCAAGGTATTCCAAAATATACATAATCACTAGTGCTCCTTTGACCTTTGACCCTGCAAAAGTTGCTGTACTGGGTAATGTTTGACTAGAATTACAGCTGAGAAATGAATATTGATTGCACATTTTGCATTTTACAAAACATGAGACATAAAGAAACAACTTGCAAGTCATTCTTCATTAGGGAACAGTTTATTATCTATATTCGTTATCTGGGGTAGAATGCCTTCCATTGTAAAGGCAATGGATTAAAATAACTGGGCCTCTTGTGGTTAGTCTGTTCCAAGACACAAAGCAAGGCCATGCCCTATTAGAATGCATCCACTGTCCCAGCTTTGACAAGTCTTTCAGTCAACAACCTGCCAACTCTATCTGGACAAACTGCCAAATAGCATCACAGTAATAGGAGCATCTTCATGAATTTTCCTGTTTTCAGCATTAAAATGAAAAAAAAAAAAAAAAAAAAAAAAAAGCTAAGCAAAACCCCTTTAGCATTCATTGTTTTTAGGGTTACTGGCTGCTTTTTATGTTTCTGTTTCCATTTTTTCAGTTTGCTTTTTTATCTGTTTTCCATGATAAAAAGCACCTCATTCATTTCCCCGTGGAAGGGCAATGCAGCTCCAAGGGAACATCTGTGAGGCCAATTAGCTGGGCTGGAAATGTGATATAATTGTTGTTTAAATATATTTAAATTACATGTTAATCACGATGTCATAATTTATAAGCTTTGAAAATAACTTTTTGTACTTCAGAGCCAAGCCAGATTTTACTTGTTTTTGCTGTTTTTAGTTTGTAACAAGCTCTTCTCATTTCTCTCTCCCTCAATTCCCCACACTTGAAGAGCTGAACTTTTAATATTGGAAAGAATGACAGCTGCAAGTAAATTGGTTGAGTAAAAATTAAGATCCTCACAGCAGTCAAAATGAGCCGGAGTGACCTTAAAGTTCTAAGCAGAACAAAGCAATGCTCTCAGTAAAATCTTTTGTTTTTTCATTGGGCTATTTTCTGCTGTCCATCAAAGTCCAGCTTTACAGATCTTTAGGAAGCAGCACTGGGTGCATCTGTTCAATTAGCTGGTGAGGCAATTTACTGTCAGCAAGGCAGAGATAGGAGGAGGTACGTTATGAACTGGCAGGTGATACTGAGTTTGTTCCTGGTGGGGGCTGTTTGTAAAGGGTGATGGATGGAATGAGTTTAATTCTGTGGCTATGTCACTAGGACATTGTATGATTAACTTGGACTTAAATGCCAGAGATTATAGAGAAGGCAAGTATCAGCAAACAAATCAAATACAGTATTAAATTCGCTCTCAAATACATCATGTCCTAAAATTTACTTTTTAGTTGAATGATAAATAGTAGAAACTTTGTCTCATATGCACAGTATTTCTTATATTTGTATTGTTTAATACTGTTCCTGTGAAATTTTAATTGTTAAATAGATGGACTGTATTTTGTGACATTTAAAAAGTTATACAAATCTACTTTCAGAGGAAACAAAAATACAGACCTAATGCCTAATTTGTATCTAAATTAAACATGATCAATGATTCATTTTTTTAATCTTTATTACTTTCAATATTAAATCTAAGATTACAATTTCAAGGGTCAAGAAATACTCCAAATTCCCTTTGATTAAAATAAAATGTCTCTAAGATGTTGCTAATCCATCAGCACTAATTTATTATCCAGACACTTCTACATAGTAACTATTAAAGGTGCTCAACCTTTTATCTTCCCTGATATATCTGCTTAACACTCTGATGGGAATTTCCATACTTTCACAGGGCACATAGCAGCATACAGAAAACATTTATTGCATTATGTTATAATTATTGCATTATAAATTATACTTCCCCATGCATGATTGTAACTCTGCATCTTTCTCGTAACTGAGTTCAGCATACCAGTGTTTTGAGACATTCAGATTTAGAACCTTCATTTTTTCACAGGGCAATCAGAAGGAAACAAACTAAATGTGTCCATATGTGCCAAAGCCCATAATGGCTGGGAGAAGCTTATTGAGATTTCAGCAGGTGGCTGAATTTTATACATACTACACATAATGTCTTTTGTCTACTTATGTATACATATATTTATTTACTCATTTTTCTATATTGTTTGATTTTGTGGGACTCTACTTTTTGAAGAAACTTTCTTATTCTGCATACACACACACACACACACACACACACACACACACACCCCAATAATGATCCTATGATCCAATTGAAGAAACATTGACTTGGGCTTTTATTCTTTCATGATTATTTTAAGACAGAGTCTTGCTCAGTCACTCAGGCTGGAGTGCACTACTGCAGTCTAGGCTCAGTGCAACCTCTGCCTCCCGGGTTCAAGGAATTCTCTGCCTCAGCCTCCCAAGTAGCTGGGATTACAGGCACCTGCCACCACACCCACATAATTTTTGTATTTTTAGTAGAGACAGTGTTTTACCATCTTGGCCAGGCTGGTCTTGAACCCCTTACATCGGCCTCCCAAAGTTCTGGGATTGCAGATGTGAGCCGCCACACCCAGTGGGCTCTCATTCTTTATCCACTTATTGACCTTTCATCTTTCTTATATGTCTCATGTATTCAAATTAAAAATATAACCAATGGGCTATGAGTAGTATCTGTAAATATGAACAAGAGTCAGTACAGAATTTACAAAGCATATGGAAATGGTGTATTTTATAAAAATACTTTGCTTAAGTCTGTCTTTGAAGTGTACTTTATTGTCCATTCTGTTTCACAGATGAATAGATGACAAGTCTTAGGGAAATCAAGAAACAGAGAAATATATGTATATGTATGTATTATATACCCTATACCATGAACAATTTTAGGTGTTATTTATTTTTATAAACTTGCAAGGTAAATAGTGTTATTAAAAATTATAACTCCCATTTATAGACAAAAAATTGAGGAGCAGAGAAAGGATATGCCATGTGCAC